GGTGTCTGTTAACATAATGCTCTCATGCAGGGATCCTACGTTCAAAATTCTAAACCACAAATTAAAAAATAAAATATTGAAAATAAAAAAAAAATTAAAAAATTTGTAAAAATTCTAGAATAATTCCAAAATGTTTATTTTTACCTGTTCCATTTGAATCCATAAAGCCAGCATGAGAGTTATGTCGTGGTGTACCAAGAATGTCTTGTAGTTTGCAGTATGAATGAATTACACCCTTTTTTTCTTTTCTTTTTAACAATCCTTTATATAGCTTCCGACGTTTTTCCTTTTCTTTTTAAGTAAATTATCTTGTTTAAATTTTCATTTTACTTTTTCAATGTCTAATTCTCATGGGTGCACGTTAAAGTTGAAGAGAAGTGGTTGTATATATTCAATAAACGTCAAAACGGCTGAACCAATCAGGCGTAATTTTTTATGATGATTTAAATGTCTCTAGGACGGTCAAAAATGTACACATTTAAAGTTGTAACCTCTGTTGGTCTGTTTGTATGTTCGATCATAACTCATGAACTCCTTAACCGATTTGCCTCAATATCAGGGAAATCCGGAAAACCACATGAAAGTTGTTAGTTTGGTTTAAGATTCTTTTAAAGACTTTTAAAGGGAAAACTCTAGGCAAAGCTTCCAAGCTAGTGGTATTTTTAAAGGATCATTAAGAATTTAAAAGGGTGTCCCAATAAACATGGGAATTGTTTGACAAATTCAAAATCGTCTTTGTTAAGATTTAGCGTTGTATCACGTAATTTCAATGGTCAAAATAAATTTACGTCTGTACTGTGTTTGTATACAAGCATTTCTCATTTTACTAAGTGCAACAGAATGCAATCAAAACATAATCAAACAAATTATCCTCTCTAGCAGACGAAATATCTAAATCAAAAAATCACTTACAAAGACGATATCAAAATCGTCACTGAATTCCCATGTTTATTGGGACACCCTGTAGACCATTTTCAAATCAAACATTCAATGTTAAGTAAGGTGTAATCCAGTACATACATATTTCAACTCTATGGTTTTACTTCACCCACAAACACCATTAAGCATAGAACGTAAAATATAAAAGTGAGAGTTGAGGATGAGTAAAACAAAGAGTTTCTAAACAATCTTTATAATTTACATCTTATTTGAGAATAGTAAAGTCATGACTTGAAAATTCAGGATAACAATCTCAGCTCCGCTATGTTCGTTATAATGAGCTTTCAACCCGTCGGAGTACACCTTTTTCAAAAGTTATTCAATCATAAAAAAGGCAGGACTTTTTTTTAAAGTTTGATTTACTTTCTTTTTAATGTTTTGTGTGAGGCGACGATGTTTTAAAAGCCTGTTTATTGGCGCTATTTTGTTGAGAGATTGAGTTGCAAGGAGGATGGGTTGGGTGGGAACAGGCTAGCATGAAATATCTCAACAGTTTACGATAACTAGGTAAGAGCATAGATAAATAGTGCCTTGAATATGAGAAAAAATGAGATAGTTAGCAGGAATTGTGCGATTTGTCAGATGGATTATGAAATTGATGAAAATATTCTAAAGTTAAAGAAGATGACGAATTTAGAGCGCGACTGAAGAGATAGAGTAGCTTTTCATTATTTCATATTTATTTACAGTTTATTAGAATATTCCTAGTATTGTAAAAATGTAGAACTAAAGAGAAGCGCCGAATAGAAAATACATTTTGCATTTGACCTTTTAGCTGGGAAAATATTTCACCGGAAAATCTGGTGTTGGGTGGAGTAGACAAACTAGCTCCAGGAATATGTTCTTTCATCAACCAGCTCTCCACCCAGTTCTTTTAGCTCTCTTACCTAGCTCTTTCAGCTCTCTAGCCTATCTCTTTCAGCTCTCTAGCCTAGCTCTTCCAGCTCTCTAGCCTAGCTCTTTCAGCTCTCTTACCTTATCTCTTCCAGCTCTCTAACCTGCTCTTTTATCTCTCTTACCTAGCTCTTCCAGCTCTGTAGCCTATCTTTTCCAGCTCTTTAATCTTGTTTTTCCAGTTCTCTAACCTTGTTTTTCCTGTTCTCCATTTAGATCTTCCAGCTCTCGAGCCTAGCTCTTCCTAGATCTCCATATAGATCTTCCAGCTCTCTAGCCTAGCTCTTACATCTCTCTAGCCTAGCTCCTCCAGCTCTCTAGCCTATAGCTCTTCCAGCTCTCTAGCTTAGCTCTTTCAGCTCTCTTATTTAGCTGTTCCAGCTCTCCAACCGGCTCTTTAAACTCTCTAACCTGGCTCTTCCAGCTCTCTAGCGTAGCTCTTCCAGCTCTTTAACCTTGTTTTTCCAGTTCTGTAACCTTGCTTTTCCTGTTCTCCGTCTAGATCTTCCAGCTCTCAAGGCTAGCTCTTCTTAGCTCTCCATCTAGATCTTCCAGCTCTCTAACCTAGATCTATAACCTTGCTATTTCAGCTGTTCCAGCACTTCCAGCTTTTTTCCAGTTCTTCATTTACATCTTTCATCGCTCTTGCCTTTACTCTTTAATCTCTCTAGCCTTGCTTTTCCAGCTCTGTAGCTTACTTATCAAGTTCTCCATCTAGATATTCCAGCTCTTAAACCTAGCTCTTCCAGATCTCCATCTAGATCTTTAAGCTCTCAAGCCTACTTTTCTTTATTATATTATAAATTATACATTTAAATCCTACCCAATTCCCTTTACCCTAATTCTACTCTTTTATATTAAAAAGGTAAATCTACAATTTTCCGCAATCCCTTTTATCCTATTTCTACTTTTTAAAGGGACTGTAAAGGAAAAATAAAACGGGGTATAGGCTGAAACCTAAGCATTTTAGGAGTTTATCGAGACCCATAAGAGTTCTATCTGATGTTCCTGTCTCGAGGACGGAGACACGTGACAATGATACTGCACTGCCATTGGCGGGAGTTCTGGTCACGTAATACGGACGTATTAATTATATTATCAATTTTATCTATTGAAAATAAAACATTATTAAATTCAAATAATAATAGGAGCAAACCTAAGTTTTTTAGGCTTAGGTTCCAGCTTATTAAAAAACTAAAATACAATCTACAATCCTACTCAAAGCCCTTTATCCTACACCTCTCTTTAATATTGAAAGGGTAAAACTACAGTTTTACTCATTAATACATAATACCTCTTTCTTAATCCTATTCAACACAATCTTACCTAATGCATTGTTTTATTTTTTAATATAATCCTTACAATTCCATCATAGATACACAATATAATGATGACCACTCTTATTCCATTATGCAGTATGCAAACATACAGTCCTACTGAATTCTAAATAGCCTGCATCTTATTTGTTATTCTGTATCGTAATGAACACATTATTTTTTAAACATTCTTTTTGAACATCATTAGAGCAGTTTTGAAGGAATAAATATTTTCTTTGTTTAAACCAATCTTAAGCACAATATCCGGATTAAAATTACAAGGTCCAGGGGTGATACAATTCATAAAACCTAAACAAATCTACAATCTATAATTAATATGTTAGTTTTACTAAAAATGTAGGACAAGGAGAAGATAACCCCCTCCCCTCTCACCTTTTTCAATTAAACTATTTGCCCCTTATGAATGGGGGAGAGATGCAAAAAGGATTTTGCTCGAGGCTTGACCAGTCTTAAACCCTGGTCAAACCAAACTATACATGCAACTACCAAACTTTACATACAACTACCAAACTATTCAAAACAAACTATACATGCAACTACCAAACTATTCAAAACAAACTATAAATACAACAACCAAACTATTCAAAACAAACTTAACATACAACTACCAAACTATTCTAAACCAAACTATACATGTAGCTACCGAACTATTCTAAACCAAACTATACACGCAACTACAAAACTATTCAAAACCAAATTTTATATGAAACTACCAAACTATACAAAGTCAAACTATGCGTGTAGCCATCAAACTATTCAAACCAAACTTCTTATCCGACTACCAAACTTTCCTAAACCAAGCTATACATACGACTATCAAATTATTCAAAGAAAACTAAACAGGTAACTACCGAACTATACTAAAACCAATCATTACATTTAACTACGTACCAAACTTTTTAAACCAAACTTTGCATGCAACTGCCAAACTGCCAACCAATTCTAAAACTACCAACCATTTTTGAAACTACCAACCAATCCTAAAACTATTAAACAATCCTAAAAATACGAACAAATCCTAAAACTCCTTACCAATCCTTAAACTAACAACCAATCCTAAAACTTCCAATCAATTCTAAAACTGCCAACCAATTCCAAAAATAGCAACAAATTCTAAAAAAAAGTACCAAACATATAAAAATAAAATCTTTAACAAACCATTATCTAAGAAAAAATACTGCTAAACCAATCAGTTCTAAAAATACCCAACTAAACCTTTAAACATATATCCACAAACCCCTCTAATCTACAGGAGGTAAATATAATCTGTTGAATGTTCTCCGCTAGTTAAAGGTTTAAAGGATTGTATTGTGTATAAGCATTATGCAAAGGAAGGTAATTGGAGGGGCGGGATGCTAAAAAGAGAGAAACTAGGGACGTACAAGGATGAGGAGGGGAGGGATGAACTATGGATGGGCGTATAGGGAGTGGTAGGATGGAGAAGAGATTGGTGTGAAGGGCGGAGGGGGGGGGGAGAGGATTAAATGAAGACAAGGAATGTTGACTCCTGACCTTTGAGAGCAGAGAATAGGATTTCTGAGGGACCAANGGGGGCTCGACAAAAAAATAATTCTCAAAAATTCATTCTTTCGAAATTTTTTCCTTCTTTCTGATTGTTTTTCTCTTTACAAAAAGTTTAAACAAAGTTTCTTTTGTCAAACTGAAATTTTACTGCTGTTTCATTTTAAATAAAATTGAAGTAATTGTAATAAACTTTATGCATAATTCCCTACAATAGTCCGGTTCCCCTTTTCTGGTATATAAAATGAAAACCTGTAGTTGGCTTAACACGAAGCTAGGCTGTAGCACAATTAGTGTCATATGTGTATTAGATAATATTCATGTCTCATCAAAAAGTATCTAAAAAATTATTTATTTTTTGTTAAAAATTTGATTAAAATGTAACGGTTGGTAGTTTTTGGTGGGTTTAAAGGTTTGATGATAGAATGAGAGATGAAACCATCCTGGAGAAATATTCAGGCTGGGTCAGGTTCACAGGTTATACTCCGTATACTGAGCCCAGTACAGGCCAACAACTCCATCCTAGCAGTTGAACTAGGAACCGGTTTAATTTAACCACAAACCACCACAACAACACAACGTGAGAACACAACAGCAAATAATTGTGAGAAATATTAAAATGTCTGGTTATCCGGGTAGATGAGAAATTTTGTGATCTGCTGAGGATGGGTACCGGAGTAAGGACGAACATATGATTAAATCTCAACTAGCAGATCTCAGTTTAACTCAGGTATTTACTAATCCAAACAAACCAATCGTTTGATATCTCCCAACCCATCCAAACTATTTATTTCCCTATTAAACTATATATGTGCATTGTAAGAAGAAGTTTACTGTTTGCAGCATGTTGTTTCATCTACCAAAACTGCATCTTTATTGCACTCTATTGCAGTCTGTAATGACCCCCTATTTCAACTGCTGTTGCAAATGTTTCACAGATGCTAATCTTTAATTGGTCAAACATTTTGCAGAGAAATTATTCTTGGACTTAAAGTCGGACGGAGTTATCTCTAGATTCTCCATGTATGACTAATCTATAGAAGATTGAGGTTGGAAAGGAAGCTCCGAGACCATACTTGAATACAGAAATGACCTTTAATGATTCATCCCTGTCACAAAAGCTTTGAAAACTAAATATTCTAAAAAGTTCTATTCTCCCGATGACATTTAAATACGTTAAATCCAACTGCGTGGTAAAATCAATCAAATTACATAGATCATTACTTGGATATATTATTGATGTAGAGATTTGAATATTCTATGTACAAATGGAACAATAGGGTTGAGTTAGTTTATATTGTAACCTAAAATCATTCGAATCATTGACTTTTTGAAAGGGTCACTGACTAGATTTTGTCAATGAATTTTTACATAAATTCATCTAAAACAGTTTCCTCTGTCTATCCTTTCAGCTCTACTCTAGGTGTTATTTAAGATTACAATTGAACTAATAACTTGCCTAAAATCTACTTTTTTATCACTAAACCTTAGGAACGTGATGGTGTATACCTTTGATATTTCAGACTTTGGCTATTTCTTCTAAGAGAACTCAAAGTTTGAAATATCTAAGTTCTACGATATCAGATTGCAGAGATATAAGATTTAGAGCAATTAGTTACTTTTTGAACGGATGAATTTGTTAGAATAAGAATAATATTAAATGAAATTTACTCTTAGAAATTGAACACTGTATCATGGATATTGAATATCTTGATCAATAATTCTGTTTTTTAGTTGTCTATATTTGAATTTGATTTGGGGACCACTGTATTTTAACGTGATACCAAATAATGTTCCAATGAGATAATTCTGTAGATTGTCAAGATAAAATCAAAATTAACCAACACATGTTAGATATCTCACAGTTTGCATCTGTTCTACCTTTTTAAACTTGTGATTCGAGACATATAATTAGAACCTTTAGTATATCCTGGACTCCAGATACACCTTGATTCGAGGTATATAATTAGAACCTTTAGTATATCCTAGAATCCAGGTACACCTAGATACGAGGTATATAATTAGAACCTTTAGTATATCCTGGAATCCAGATACACCTAGATTCGAGGTATATAATTAGAACCTTTAGTATATCCTAGAATCCAGATACACCTACTTCGAGGTACATAATTAGAACCTTTAGTATATCCAAGAATCCAGATACACATCTAGATTCGAGGTATATAATTAGAGCCTGTAGTATATCCTAGAATCCAGATACACCTAGATTCGAGGTATATAACTAGAACCTGTAGTATATCCTAGAATCCAGATACACCTAGATTCAAGGTATATAATTAGAACCTTTAGTATATCCTAGAATCCAGATACACCTAGATTCGAGGTATATAATTAGAACCTGTAGTATATCCTAGAATCCAGATACATCAAGATTCCATCCATCAGTTCATCATTTATTGTCTGCCAAATTGTTAACAAATTAAAGATAAAAAAGTGCTGAAGAACTGGTTGCAGAACGTTATATTGAGATGATAGAATAAAGGAGAATGAACATTAAGAGCTTAACCTAGAGAAAGTGAAGAGCTAAAACTAAAGAAAGTATGAAGTTGGATAAGGTTTAGGTTGGATATATTCATTATATACTAGATAAGGTTTGGGTTGGATATATTCATTATTTACTAGATAAGGTTTAGTTTAGGTTGGATGTATTCATTATATACTAGATAAGGTTTAGGTTGGATATATTCATTATATACTAGATAAGGTTTAGGTTGGATATATTCATTATATATTGGATAAGGTTTAGGTTGGATATATTCATTATATACTTGATAAGGTTTAGATTTAGTTTAGGTTGGATATATCCGAGGTTTATTCTGCTGTATTATAGGTTTAGTTTAGGTTGGATATATCCGAGGTTTATTCTGCTGTATTACAGGTTTAGTTTTGACAGAATTCAAGGTTTAATTTAATTTATATCAGATATTTCAAAGCTTGAGGATATGATATGATCACGATTAAAGCTGAGGTAAAATATATTTTAGAAATAGTTTCTAAATGTTCCGATCAAATGAATGATCTAAATCTTGCATCAATTAGTTGGAAGTTAACGTATATTATAATTAGGATGAAAATACATTGGTTCAGGAATCCATTAAATAATTATAAGTTGTGTTGGGTTGACATCCATCATTAACTAATCACTTAGTTAAAATATTTTATGAGAAGATAAAGAACTCGGTCTAATTATCTTGTTTCTAGGTATGACTCTGGTATCAGCAGGACCAGTTTCTGTCTGGCGAGATCCAGGTCTTATGTCGCCGGGTAGCAGTACTTCTCCAGGTCCTGGTACACCTACTCCCCCAGCAGATACAATAGTAAAGGTAGCATAGTTCTTCTCCAGGTCCTGGTACACCTACTCCCCCAGCAGATACAATAGTAAAGGTAGTAAAGTTCTTCTCCAGGTCCTGCATGTTACACCTTGCATGTTACACCTACTCCCCCAGCAGATACAATAGTAAAGGTAGCATAGTTCTTCTCCAGGTCCTGGTACACCTACTCCCCCAGCAGATACAATAGTAAAGGTAGAATAGTTCTTCTCCAGGTCCTGGTACACCTACTCCCCCAGTAGATACAATAGTAAAGGTAGAATAGTTCTTCTTCAGGTCCTGGTACACCTACTCCCCCAGCAGATACAATAGTAAAGGTAGTAAAGTTCTTCTCCAGGTCCTGGTACACCTACTCCCCCAGCAGATACAATAGTAAATGTAGTAAAGTTCTTCTCCAGGTCCTGCATGTTACACCTTGCATGTTACACCTACTCCACCAGCAGATACAATAGTAAAGGTAATATAGTACTTCTCATGGTCCTGGTACACCTACTTCAACACTACAGATACTGTATCAAAGGAAGAAAAGTGTCATGGTCCTAGGACGCTTTGCATTTCATTTTCTTAACTCTTTCTCAAATAATAAAAATATTAATAGAAAAATTGAAATTTTTTCTGAATGGTTTCTAAAAAATAACTTTAAGAAATTATTTATGCCTGGAGTTTTCCCTATGAAAGTCAACCCATTTTAAATTTGGTGATGGCGATAGACCAAACCTCTAGAGTAAAAAAAGTAGATGTTAGTTCCACATTTATTAAAAATATATTTCGGTGTGGAATGACCCTCGTCAGTTCTAACTATATAATACCATCAAAATCGATAAAAAAAATAAAAAAATTGTTAAAACCCACAAGAGAATAAACGAACAAAAAGATTATTAAAAAAAACGAACTCAGATTATGAGATAGAAAAAAGATAATTTGCAAATTTTCACTTTTAAAAAATGTTTTAAGACAACTTAGAATCTTTAAACCAACTCAATCTGAGAACATTCTTGTGGTTCTACCGAGTTCCCCAATCAATATTTTATCCAAATTGGTCTATGGGTTCCGGAGTCATGATGGGACATCCAAACAGACAATTAAACAGAGATTACTACTGTATATACATAAAAGGTTTGTCCCCTGGTCCCCCAAAAATATATAATAATTAAAAACAAAAATGATGAATAAAATTGCACCTAGGATGAGAATGGTCAAGATATTGTGTGTGTGGTATGTGGAGATAAATCAAGTGGCAAGCACTATGGACAATATACCTGTGAAGGTAAAAGCCTTGATCAAACTTTTTCAATTTGCAATTTTTTCGAATTTCTTTAAAATATCACTTTCTCTTTCTTCTATAAGTAATCTTGTTCAATTATTAGTTTCTATTTTCTCATTGTTCACAAAGATTTTTTGCAGATTTTCTAAAATTATTATTGAAAAGACGACATTTGAAGAATTTGAAGAAATCTGCGAATAAATTCAAAGAAAATAAGAAGTTCAATGTATTAATAAAAACGAAATAATCGATTTTAGCAATGATTTATTGGCAAATTTCTTTTGAGAAATATGTTCCTAACCATCTATTTAGATTACTGTATAATTTTCAAATGAATCCGAAAGAAGTTTTCCACTACACTGCATACTTAGTTTAACTACCTTACATAGCCGGTCACTCCCTTTAACAATAATTTTAAAGATTAACTTAAAGAGTAAGATCGCCTCATTTTTTTTGTTCATATATTTTTTCATAATTGTAATAGAAAATACTAAATTGGATGTTTAAGAATGAACCTCAAAAACGTTTGTTTGGAATTGAATCTTTGCCACAAACTCCAATTTTCTAATTCTTTTATCTTTGCAACCGGGTGCTGTAAACCTTTATTTTTTCAAACTTTAAATATTCTCTCTGTTTGAAATAATAAAAGTCTACGACATCGGGTTGCAGAGATATAGGGATTGTGGCAAAAACTCATCTCCTTTCTGTGAAATATCGCTTTCTCTGTCATATTTCATATTTCACATGATATTTATCATTTATCATTTATTGAGCGTTTAACAATCATTTTTCATCATTTTTTGTTTATAAAGTGTAAGATTACCCTTTTTTATTTCTTTTCATTTAATTTCTTTTCGGTTTTAATTATCAAAGGTTTACATAGGTTTCAAATATTTAGGGATTTTAAAACTTGAGTTTGTGGCAAAGACTCAATTTTGAAAGATAAAAATTCAGTTTGTATTGCTCTTGTGTTTCAGTTTTAAAAAGATTATCGTATAGAGAAGGAAAGAAAAGTTATGAATGACTCCGGTATGATTGTCTAGTATGTAAATATATAAACCATGAGCATGGAGCCTGGAGCTCCATGTTTCCTGGAACCAACCTGAGATAAGAAATATAACTGAACCTTGTAATCAGACTTCAGACCTCACACCGATACAAATACAATACAGGGTTACCTACTTAACATCAGACTTTAACGACGACCTTAAACTATTTAAATTCTGTACAGGTTAAATTCAGCCATCTTATTGAATACTGGTTTGTTCATACAAATAAATGGCGTTGCTGTAGATTTGACATAAGATTAAAGAATACGAACAAATCTTTATATTCTCATTCTATTTTGGTAAACCTGTGCTTTTGGGCAGACACAGAGGAAAGGGGGGGGGGGGTTGAAGTGGGGATTCCAGTTGGGGCAGTTTATCTTCCATTAAGGGTTCTTACTAAGCATGCATAACAGTTTGAAAGTCAAATTTTAGGATTTTAATATTAGTCAATGCATATTTTATAAAAAAAATGAATGAATGGCCCCGGAAAATCTGAACAAATATTTTACAGTGTTTTCATGTGTTTAGGTATCAATATTCAGTCCTGAAAGGGCCTAATTTTAAACGACCCTTTTTAACAAGCTTGAACGACATACGGCCTAAATGCGGCTTAATCAATTATTCTGGTACTAACCCAAAACTTGGAAATCGCTTTGTAGAATTAAAGTTTTCAAAAATCCAGATATTCCTTTTAGATTTAATTTAGTTTTGGCATAGGAAAAATATAGCACTCCGAAAGGGAGGGTCATATGTTGGCAGGTAAAGAATTTGTTTTTATGAGTTAGGGTTAAGATAAGTTAGGGAGGGGGGGGGGGGGTAGTTAAACGAAGTTACTTTGAGGACCTTCTAAGACTTATGTTTAACTCTGAATGCCTTTAAAGGTTTCAGAATTGTATGGTTCAGAGCTTGGACGCATAATCTCAATTCTTACTCATATACAATATACAAACCAACAGCGAGATACAGTAATTTATTGCCGCTCTCTCATAAACCCTTCTTTATTCTTTTTTATTTAAACCCCAAGATTGCCAGCGGCATTTTTGTTACAGGGTGTGCATATAAAAGCATCGCTATCAAATTTATTTTTTTTATCCTGGCGGAAAAAAACTTAGATATATGATATTTTGATCAAACTGAAATATAAAGGTTGAACAATATTCAGGACACCCTGTACTTGAAACCGAGCGGGTTGTGGTTTAGGGTAAACAGGGTGAACCTGGGAGTAATCTCCTATGTCTGTGTATGTAACAAAACCCTGATATCCCAATCCTTCATAATTATAGCGCCTAACATTCTAGATTGGCTAATATATGTTTAAAATGTTTATTAGTCTGTAGAACCTAATTTTTTTAAAGATCATATATGGAGCTAAGATACTAAATTTTACCTAGATTCAAAATATCCTGACTTCTATATTTCTAGAGCTAATCCATCCTGCCTAGATAAACCATGCTCACCACTCTAGAGCACACATAAACTAAGCCATTCTGCCAGCTCTAGAATATACCTAGAGCTAATCCATCCTGCCTAGCCAAACCATGCTCACCACTCTAGAGCACACTTAAGCTAAATCATTCTGCCTGCTCTAGAGTATACCTAGAGCTAATCCATCCTGCCTAGATAAACCATGCTCACCACTCTAGAGCACACTTAAGCTAAATCACTCTGCCTGCTCTAGAGTATACCTAGAGCTAATCCATCCTGCCTAGATAAACCATGCTCACCACTCTAGAGCACACTTAAGCTAAATCATTCTGCCTGCTCTAGAGTATACCTAGAGCTAATCCATCCTGCCTAGCTAAACCATGCTCACCACTCTAGCTACATAAGCTAAAGCATTCTGCCTGCTCTAGAGTATATCTTTGCATAAACCATCCTGCCTCAAATAGAGTGTTTACCTTGAAATAAAACATTCTGTCTACTAATAGGTATACCTAGAGTTAACCCGTCTTGTCTATTCTAACTTACATATAAAGCTATTTTATTTAGCATAATTTAGAGTATACCTAGATCTTAATTATCTTCTATCTTCTATATAAAGGTATTTTATTCGGCATTTTTTAGAGTATACCTAGATTTTAATCATCTTCTATCTTCTATATAAAGCTATTTCATTCAGCATTTTTTAGAGTATACCTAGATCTTAGCCATCTTCTATCTTCTACATAAAGCTATTTCATTCGGCATACTTTAGAGTAAACCTTGATCTTAACCATCTTCTATTTTTTATATAAAGCTATTTCATTCGGCATACTTTACAGTATACCTTTATCTTAACCATCTTCTGTCTTCTATATAACTCTATTTCATTCTGCATACTTTAGAGTATACCTTGAGCTTAACAATCCTGTCTATTCTAGGTATGTCCTAGTGTTAAACCATCTTGTCTAGCATATAAAGTTAAACCATCCAGCCTACTCTAGAATATACATTGAGTTAATCCATCCAGCCTCTGTAGAGTATACTTTGTGTTAAACCATCCTGCCTACTGTAGAGTATACCTTGAGTTAAACCATCCTGTCTACCGTAGAGTATACCTTGAGTTAAACCATCCTGCCTACTGTAGAGTATACCTTGAGTTAAACCATCCTGCCTACTGTAGGGTATACCTTGAGTTAAACCATCCTGCCTACTGTAGAGTATACCTTGATTTAAACCATCCTGCCTAATGTAGAGTATACCTTGAGTTAAACCATCCTGCCTACTGTAGAGTATACCTTGAGCTAAACCATCCTGCCTACTGTAGAGTATACCTTGAGTTAAACCATCCTGCCTACTGTAGAGTATACATTGAGTTAAACCATCCAGCCTACTGTAGAGTATACTTGAGTAAACCATCCTGCCTACTGTAGAGTATACCTTGAGTTAAACCATCCTAACTATGCTAGACTGGCTTTATATGAGATTACCCCAGGCTTGCTAAACTTACATTTACGACGCTAATAATTCTTAAAAGAATAAACCCTAATCTTTTATAGTTTCAAGATGTGCTAGAATGTGGGTAAGCGATAGGTAAATGGAGATGGGGTGGGGAGGGGTAAGTATATAGGGGGGGTTAGATTATTAAAAATGTTAAATTGCGCTGCTAAGGTTGTTTTTAAGTCACAATCGTGAAACTCAAAATTTCGCGAATGTTTTTTGTTAATAGTGGATTCTTAAAAATAATAAATGTTGAATTTTTTCGCTTTTGCCCGTCCATAAACCTTCACTGGGGCCATGTAATTGCCACAAAAAAATGCTTATCCCGATCGTTACAGGCGTTTTAACGTTTGTTGGTTTCTGCGACATTTTAATCTTGTCTGTGATACCAGAAATCATTCAATTTTCATAACAGAAAAAGAAAAACTTTGAACCGAAATAACCAAATTCTTCATTATTGCCACAGTCAAAGTATAATTTAAAAAATTAAAAGCCGTTTATTAGTCTTTGGCGATTAATCGATTTTCATATCAACATTCTTAATTCATATAATTTTTATAAGTTAAATTTCTAAAATTAAGCTTTTTGTACGGGGATATATTGTCAAAATAGGCCATTGGGCTTGTTTAGAATCAAATTAGGAAAAAGTGTNTTTCTATGGGAAAGGGGGGGATAGTTTCTTCTACTCTCCCTAAGCTATATAGAGGATAAGAGCTTGTGCTAGTCCTAATAGAGTTGATATAAAAAGATAAGATTCGAATACAATCACTATTTTATCAACCCTTGCTTGAAATCCTGCAGCCGTTAACCAGCCTACCTTAATAGAAACTTAAGAATTTGAAGCAACATTTTTTCAGTTCTAATTTTGTTTCGTTTTTCACAGTGTCACGAAAAAAATTGCAATTTTATTTAAAAAATCAACAATTTTCTTAATAAAATTAATTCTTTGACCAGCCTACGGCGGCTCTGTTCGGGTATTCTTATCCCTGTAATGCACTGCACATGGGTTGAATATACATATATTCATTTTATCTTGATAGGTGTTCACTGTGCACTGTACTCAGGACTATTTACTGGCAGATCTGGACTTTTTTATGGAATAATTTGTTTAGAAATAGGTTCCGGTCATTTTTCAAGAAGTATTTAACAAGCGCATGCCGTACCAATAGTTATTGTTATTAAACCAACTGTAAACTCAAACATTAAGGCCTTCAGGTCTTGTGCCTTGATGATACCTCAGGCAGTCACAGATAGTCCTGGGCTCAACTAATAATCTCAATTAGTTAACATAGAAATATATCATGCAGCCGTCATAATACCTTCTTATTTTGGAATTTAACAAAGAAAAAAGAAAAAGACGTTGGAATTGAATATAAAAATCATTGAAAGTGGAAGAAGTGGAGAAAGGTAGAAAATATGAAAAAGAAAATGAAAGAAAGTTATTGTTAAATCATGTGAGAGACTATATTTAGACCAATAAAAATAGATGATAAACCAATTAGTCTCTGGAGGGCGGTAATAATTATGAAAATCATATTGAAAATATAAGAATAAAATTGTATGTTAGATAATGATTATATATCCCTGTATAGCTGTGTGCGGTATATTTATGTATAATGTTCTATAATTTAGATAATTTTAGTTAACTGGCAAACCTGCCATATTCATATTTTAGCAGTATACAACATTCCTTAGTCTTTCCCAGACCATCTTCTTATTCTACTCGTAATTGAACAAATTTTATAAAATGGTTCATTTTGTAAAAATATTTGTTGGTGGTTTAAAACATTCGCATTGAAATAGATTTGAAAGAGGGGGGGTTGATAATTGAAAACACAAAATAGATAATCTTTTTCTCTCCGTTCTTAAAATGGCTTCTATGAAACCAAGTTAAAACTGTTAAAATGTTAAAACTAAATGTAGTTTGATGTACTAATAATTATTTCTGTACCAGACGCATCCATTGATATGATGCATTCCTCACTTAGTGTTTGTGCTCTTATATTAGCACCACCCTGATTCTAATGCAGTCTTTTCTTTCACCCACTTACTTCGTGATCACGATTTTTTATCATTTTTTTTTGCGGATTTCACAAATTGACTGATAAGTTTTTCGATAAGATTTTACAAAAAGGGCAGTGTTACACACAGTGATGAATGGATATATACAAGAATGTAATTCAAGGAAAGTTAATTGCCGTTGCGTATACTCTGCGTACACATTGAAACCAGTTCTCTCTGGGCGGAATTTGTAAACAAGAATAGATGCATCAGTGTTGTTTAGTATCCGAGGAGGTTAAAAGCATTAAATTTTGATAATTTTTACACTGCAGTACGAAAGATGCGTACACCTCTGAAATAACTTTCCTTGCATTACATCCTTGGATATATCTATAGTTCTAGTAAAAAAATTAACCATTATAATGTTAAGTTCAAACAGTTTAAGGTCGTATTTAAATGTATTGTTTACCTTAATAAGCCCGGAATATATCAAAAGTAACAGCTAAATCCTTCTACATTGTATCTTGTAATTTGTAAAAACTCAAAAAATATAAATTTTTTATTTGTTTAAGGTTGTAAGAGCTTTTTCAAGAGATCTGTGAGACGGAACCTGACTTATCAGTGCAGAGGAAACAAGAACTGTCCAATAGATCAACATCATAGGAACCAGTGTCAGCACTGTAGACTCAAGAAATGCTTCTCCAACGGCATGCGGAGAGAAGGTAAACCAAACTTCGTCAAAGATTTTCTTAATTGACCGTCATCTTAAATGTTTATGATTATATTTTAGTTCTAACGTTTTGTCATTTTTCAGCTGTTCAGCAAGGACGTACTCCAAGTGGACAGTCGTTGCTCGGGTTCGGGTTCAATGGCTCTGGAGAATATTCCTCCGTCTCTTCTCCGTCCCCCTCCACCCCCTACCTCACCTCCTACATCTCCTTGCTAGTTCGCGCGGAACCCTATCCTACTGCTCGCTACACTCACATCCCTCACCCAGGAGATATAATAGGGTTGGATAATATCTGTGAGTTCGCAGCTCGTATCCTTTTCTCCGCTGTAGAATGGTCTCGGAATATCCCTGGGTTCCCGGAGCTCCAGGTTACAGATCAGGTTGCACTACTCAGATTAGTCTGGTCAGAACTATTTGTACTCAATGCTGCTCAGTGTAACATGCCGCTACATATTGCTCCGCTCCTGGCTGCTGCAGGATTACATGCTGCTCCTATGGCAGCTGACCGGGTTGTAGCTTTTATGGATCATATTAGAATATTTCAAGAACAGGTTGAGAAGCTAAAAACTCTTCATCTTGATATAGCAGAGCTAGCTTGTCTTAAAGCAATACTTCTTTTTACGACAGGTAAACCATTCTAGATCCTGGATCCTAGATCCTAGATTCTAAATCCTAGATCCTAGATTCTAAATCCTAGATCCTAAATCCTAAATCGTAGACCCTGGATCATAGATCCTAGATCCTAGATCCTAGATCCTAGATCCTAGACCCTGAATCTTAGATCCTAGATCCTAAATCCTAGATCCTAGATTCTAGATCCTAGATCCTAGATCCTAGATCCTAAACATGAAGCCTTAGATATCAAACTCATCCTGTATTACGTGCATTAATGAGATCATCCGCGCATTATTTTGCTCAGTGCAAACCTTTAAAACAATGCACGAAGCTAGAACTAAAGTATCACGAGTTAATAATTATGACGAACCAACCCAGCGACAATTAGCCGCCTCTCTATCTCCCCCCCCCCCCCCTCCCCCCATACTTCAACACATCAGTATTACATCAGTTCTATCTTCTTACACCTTGAATCCTGTCTGTATTTGTATCTGCTTCATGTCCAAGTTCTTACACTGTTTTTTTATACAGCCCGGAGCAGTTGTCACTTAATGCATTAACTCGCAGGTTGAGTGTCTAGAATCTAGAAAATAGGAATAAAATAGTTAGAGAAGGGGACATCTTGACATTGAAGGGATTGTTTAGTTTTTTTTTATAATACTATTTAGTAGTTTTAAATTACATTGACTAGAGAACCTATCCTAGTAGTGTTTAATTTTATCTGGAGCATGCACCTATCCTGGTAGTGTTTTAATTGTACCCGGATCATATCACCCATCCTAGTAGTGTTTAATTGTACCTGCATGGAGCATAGCACCAATCCTAGTAGTGTTTAATTGTACTTGGAGCATACCACCTATCCTAGTAGTGTTTAATTGTACCTGGAGCATACCACCCATCCTAGCAGTGTTTAATTGTACTTGGAGCATACCACCTATCCTAGTAATGTTTAATTGTACCTGGAGCATACCACCCATCCTAGCAGTGTTTAATTGTAACTGGAGCATACCACCTATCCTAGTAGTGTTTAATTGTACTTGGAGCATACCACCTATCCTAGTAGTGTTTAATTGTACCTGGAGCATAGCACCTATCCTATTAGTGTTTAATTGTACCTGGAGCATAGCACCTATCCTAGTAGTGTTTAATTGTACCTGAGCGTAGCACCTATCCCGGTAGTGTTTAATTGTACTTGGAGCACGCACCTATCCTAGTAGTGTTTAATTGTACTTGGAGTATACCACCTATCCTATTAGTGTTAAATTGTACCTGGAGCATAGCACCTATCCTAGTAGTGTTTAATTGTACCTGAGCGTAGCACCTATCATAGTAGTGTTTAGTTGTACCTGCATGGAGCATAGCACCAATCCTTGTAGTGTTTAATTGTACTCGGATAGCACCTATCCTAGTAGTGTTTAATTGTACCTGAGCGTAGCACCTATCATAGTAGTGTTTAGTTGTACCTGCATGGAGCATAGCACCAATCCTTGTAGTGTTTAATTGTACTCGGAGCATGGCACCATCATAGTAGTGTTTAATTGTACCTGGAGCATAGCACCAAACTAGTAGTGTTTAATTGTACCTGGAGCGTAGCACCTATCCTAGCAGTGTTTAATTGTACCTGGAGCATAGCACCTATCCTAGTAGTGTTTAATTGTACCTGGAGGATAGCACCTATCCTAGTAGTGTTTAATTGTACCTGGAGGATAGCACCTATCCTAGTAGTGTTTAATTGTACCTGGGGCGTAGCACTTATCCTAGTAGTGTTTAATTGTACCTGGAGCATAGCACCTATCCTAGTAGTGTTTAATTGTACCTGGGGCGTAGCACCTATCCTAGTAGTGTTTAATTGTACCTGGGGCGTAGCACCTATCCTAGTAGTGTTTAATTGTACCTGGAGCATAGCACCTATCCTAGTAGTGTTTAATTGTACCTTGAGCGTAGCACACTCCACTTTGTTTTAATCTAATGAATTGGTCTGATATCTCTAATATAATGGAATGACTGTATAATCTGGATGAATGAGAATATAAGAACATACATTGAATATCTGCTGGGACGATCTGAACCATGATATCTGCACTCTCATCCTTGTACCATTAATTACTTGTCCGCACTCACCACAATACATTCATTCTTAGAAATCTGCAGTGCTTTAAAGGGACCCCTCTCACGTGATGTAGACAATAAGGGACTCATTCTTAAAATCGTTTTTCAAGATTTTATTTTTAATTTTTATTGCTAATTATACCTATATCAACAACAAATAGCACCTGATTTTGACGAAGGGTGAATTTTCTTGGACCAGAGGAACTGATTACTCGCACCCAATTCTTATGTTTTAATCCCTATTTCATTGCATCCTTTGATATTGAAGACTTTGACTTTTTGTTGGAGCTGAATTTATATATTGAAATATCTGAGAGCTCCGACATCAGATTTTAAAGAAATAAGAATTTGCATTTTCGGTGAAAAGTTAACGTTGACTCGTGTATTAATTATTGTTGTTTTTTGTCATTCATTGCTTTTTGCTATATATCCGGCTGTTGTAATTTTAAACATATCTTTTTTATGCTTTTCCTCAATTTAATTTTTTAGATGCATGCGGTCTCTCAGATCCAAACCATATAGAGCAGTTACAGGAGAAATCTCAGTGTGCTCTGGAGGAGTACTGTAGAACCCAGTATCCTAATCAACCCACCAGGTTCGGAAAACTTCTCCTACGTCTCCCCTCCTTGAGAACTGTATCCGCCTCTGTGATAGAACAACTATTCTTCGTGAGATTAGTTGGGAAAACTCCGATAGAAACCTTAATCAGGGATATGCTCCTCTCAGGGAACACCTTCCAGTGGCCCAGCTCTGATCCTCCAGTTACAACTTATTCTTGTATGTGATAAATTCCCTTTTCAATCTTTCTTCAAATTATATTAATATCCTATCACGGCCTTAAAATAAATTTTCATATATATTGATTCTAAATCCATATTTAAAATCAAAGGTTTCCACTTTTCTTATTTTTTTTTGAGGGGGGGTCTAAAGAAACTGATTACTCGCCACAAACTCTTTTTTTCTTATCCCTATGGTGTTACAAACTAAAACTTGGATATTTCAAACTTTGACTACTTTCTTAGTTTGAAACATCAATGGTTTCAAAAGTAAGTATTCAGTTCCTTTGATGTAACAATTTTTTGGCATTTAGTCATGTGATGATACTTTATTAAATTAAAAAAGTAGATTTAAACGTATTCCTGGTTTAATATGTAAAAAGTACAGACCTCTATAGGCCGGATGTCTTAAAACTGATAATGTGCCAAATTGCAAATTTATGGTTTAAAACCATGCCAAAAATTTGCATATGAAATATATTTTGTAGATAGTTTAATACTGAACTGAGCTAACTTTTATCTGAAAAGTTTTAAAATTGTAAATTTTGGTAAAGAATATATGTTTTTTACATATACAAATTTTGTAAGTTTTTAGCAAATTTTTTCTTTTCCCCCTATCAAATTTCATGGCCAACTCGTTTTTACAAAAATCTACTATAATCCGCGCTAATTTATGAATTTTTCTGTGCTTTGTGAGCGGAGACATTTTGGATTTAATTTTTGAAAAATGCGTAAGTTGAGTGACCCCTGAGCTGGGGTGTAAAGAGGAAATGAAGGAGAAAACCTGATTAAACACTTGTATTCAAACCTATTCAACCAATATAGAACTTAGGACAAATTTTCGTAAATTTGCCACAAAATGTTAGGAATTCAAGTTTTTTTTTATGATTTGTATATTCATCTTTGTAATTTATCACATTTTTTAATAAATGTACCTAGTATATAATTTTATTTTTAAACACTATGCAATATTTTAGGGATTTTTTGCTCTTTGTGAACTGCCTTTTTAAAAGTACATTTTTACACCAGTTTAAGCGAAAAACAATTGGGCCCATTTTGGATACTTTGAAATACTTATTAAATAGTTAAGTTTTTGTATTAACGATACATGTATAATTTATGGATATATCACCAAAGCCTAATAAAAGGGTTGTTTGATAATTAAAATAAATTGTTAAGCTTGCTTTTTACATTTTTACTTTTAAAGCTTCCTGCAGTCACAATGAAAACTTTGAACAAAAAAAAACTTTTTTCTCTACTTTTTTTTTGCGGTAAAAAATTCTAAAATAATCATTTCCTGATTTAGGAAAATATGTTCATCCCTGTTTAAGCTCGCCCACTTGTGGTTTCCTTAAGTGCTGAATTATTAGGCTGCAACCCTTGCCCTTTCCTTCCCCCCCTTTCTTTCCCCCTCATCGCCAAACCCCCCAACCTCTCCCTTCTTTTAAATTAGGAAGCCAATTGGTGTAAAGTACGTTTAGCTTTTTTCTTCATTTATTTTTATGCACGCGTAGCATTTTTTTCATCAAACTTGATAGATTTTACAATTCAGTTTTGTAAAAATTTTAGACTACCATTCCTTTCTTTCCTTTCCCATTCCCACCCTTCTAGACTACCATTCCTTTCTTTCCTTTCCCATTACCACCCTTTTAAACTACCATTCCTTTTCTCTCCATTCCCATTCCCACCTTTTTAGACTACCATTCCTTTCTTTCTTTTCCCATTCCCACCCTTTTAGACTACCATTTCCTTTCTATCCTTTCCCATTCCTACCCTTTTAGACTACCATTTCCTTTCTTTCCTTTCCCATTCCCACCCTTTTAGACTACCATTCCTTTTCTTTCCTTTCCCATTCCCACCCTTTTAGACTACCATCCCCCTATTTCGTTTCCCATTCCCACCCTTTAGACTACCATTTCATTTCTTTCCTTTCCCATTTCCAACCGTTTTTAGACTACCATTCCTTTTCTTTCCTTTCCCATTCCCACCCAATAAAACTTTTATCCTCTTTCTTACGTACCAATTCCAATCCGACCCGATGCCATGCCCCTATTTTTCCAATATTTTGTAAAATAGATGGTTATCTGATTAAAGCATGGATTTATCCATATTTTTTATCTCATTCAGAAAATATTTGATGAATTTCTACAATTCCCGAGATTTTGACCAGTTTTCGATTAGAAGGAATTTTTCTATGATTTATGAATTGAATTTCAACCCTCGCCTTTATGTATATTAAAAAGGTGGAATCTTGAAATTTTTGATTAAACTTAATACTCAGGTGTGTTTAAACACTATAGGGTGGAAAGAATGAAATTGAACGTAAACCAAGTTATACGGACACGATCTAGTTTGCATAGAACAGATATCTAATATATACGGCACAGACAGACAAGCAGACAGACAAATTAAAACACAAATATTTAAATAGACAAAAATTCAGATTTTCTCATTTCTATATCTTTGCAACCCAATAACTTAAGATATTTCGAGCTTTGAATTCTGTAAGATTTAATTATCTAAGTTGAAAATATCAAAAGTTTAAATAGTAAGGTTTCAATTATACAAGGATAAATAATTCCTTTGACTTTTAGATATATACGATGCATATGCATTTAAAAAAGAAACATAAATTATCTAAAGAGATTGGGAAACATAGAGATTTATTCATTCAAAACGCACATACACAATAGTTTTGAGAATTTATTTAACAGAATACACAATAGTATTCCGAATTTTGAGAATTTATTTAACAGAATACACAATGGTATTCCGAATTTTGAGAATTTATTTATCAAAATACAGAATGGTATTCCGAATTTTGAGAATTTATTTAACAAAATACACAATGGTATTCCGAAATTTGAACGGTACATTTAAAAATCTTGAATGCTGTGTGAAAATAATAATACTGTGTCACCTGTTGATTTCCTGCCCTCTTAGATCTACCGCCATTTATCCTCCTCCATTGGTAAACTAGTTGAAAACTGTAGGATTTAATTGGAGGTGGAGATTGCTCCATTCATGCCTTGCTGGGTTTAACTACACGGTGTCACAAAAAAAATTGACGTGGGAAAAAATCATGTCTAATTTTTTTACAACATTTCTCATATTAAAAGATGTATGTCTTCAATCTAATTTAGTTTTTCAAATAATATTTAATTTTTCTTACTTTTACATTTTTTTGTATTTATCCTGTCTCTAGTTCTCTACTCTGGTTCTACCCTGGTTGTCAGTGGTATTTAAACGTCAATATAATAACTGTGAGGAACTACTTATATGTAGTTAACCCAGCAGGAGAACACGACACCATATATATCGGACAGATGACACTTTGTTCACCTCACCTCAATATACCTTGCTCGGTTCGGCTTAACTCAGGGTAGCTCAGTTCGTTTTAAAACTGGATGTTCGGTTTATTTTAGTTTAAGGTAGCCAAGTTCGTTTAAATAAGTGTAGTTCGGTTTCTTTTAGTTCAAGGTAGCTAAGTTCGTTTAAATACGCGTAATTCGGTTTATTTTAGTTTGGGGTAGCTCAGTTCGTTTTAAATCTGTTTAGTTCGGTTTATTTTAGTTTAGGGTAGCTCAGTTCGTTTTAAACTTGTTTAGTTTGGTTTATTTTAGTTCAGGATAGCTCAATTCGTTTTAAACTTGTTTAGTTTGGTTTATTTTAGTTCAGGATAGCTCAATTCGTTTTAAATCTGTTTAGTTCGGTTTATTTTAGTTTAGGGTAGCTCAGTTCGTTTTAAATCTGTTTAGTTCGGTTTTTTTTAGTTTAGGGTAGCTCAGTTCGTTTTAAATCTGTGTAGTTCGGTTTATTATAGTCAGAACTTTTTTCATATCGAGATTAATCATTAATCTCCATCTTATGCAAACCTGCGGATTAATCTAATCCCTCTTCGATATCCGATAGTGCTCATACCCTGCAGAGACAACTTCTATTGAGAGATCAAGCATTGATCCTCAAATTTAAAAATATTCACATAGAATATCGAGATCGAACGTTCCATTCAAGATTAACGAGACTCCACTAAAAAATTCCGACTTCAGATCACTTTGCTTGCATCAAAGTTTGCTAAGATAAATTAGATTTCGTTCACAAATCACAATTCACAGTTAACAGTTAAAATTAATTAAAATGCAATAACTAAATCATTTTATTCAAATCCGTTAATTTCAGTATCAGTTAAATAAAAGAGATCAATGTTATTCAGTTAACATCAACCTAGCGTAGTTAAAATAGATTAAATCAAAACTAAAGAGACTGTAAAGGAAAAATGAAAAGGGGTATAGGATAAAACCTGGGAATCTCAGGAGTTAAACGATACATATAAGACATCTATCTGATCTTCCATTTTGTATACAAGTTGTAGTATTAAATAGATCATATTCAACAAATACGCAACCAATCTAAAAACGACGACATCCCACAGGATATACAAAATTGCATATATACGAATTTTCGTATAATTTTGACACAGTTTTAAATCAATTTCTCGAGACAGGAACATCAGATAGATGTTTTATATGCATCGTTTAACGCCTGAGATTATCAGGTTTCATCCTACAACCCCCTTCATTTTTCCTTTACAATCCCTTTAAATAATTTTTAAAAAATGTATCAGGATATGTTAAAATTTGCATTTAAAAATACAAAATGTACAATTTTGGTGTTAAAGCTCTGTCTATATGAGAACAGGCGATAGTTTAGTTTTTAAACAAATCTTGATTATCAAAAGTCATCATTTGAAAGGAGTCGGCAGTCTTGAAAGCTTTAAAATAAAAGATAAGATAACAGAAAAATATTTTTGTTTACGTTTTAAACCACTTTATCCATTAGGTTTAATCAAAGAAGAGTTGTGTACAAAGAAACTTTTTAAATTAACTTGTCTTGTGAATCTCGGGATCAACCGTTGATCTCCAACTTATGAAGACCTATTGATCAATTTCATTCCTCTTCGATATCCCGGGGTGGAATTACACTGTAGTAGGGTTAACTTTAATTGAGGAATCAAGCATTGATCTCCGCATTGGATATCGAGATCAAGCATTCAAGATTAAGGATATTTCACACAAAGTTCCGATCTA